GATGACATTTTGGTTTACTCTGCTTCTGAGGAAGATCATGCCAGACATCTAATGATTATTTTGGAGACTCTAAGGTAGCATCAACTATATAAAAAATTCTTTAAGTATGAGTTTAGGTTGTGGAGTATTACTTTTTTGGGGCATATGGTGAATAGTACTAGTATTTTTATAGATGCCTAGCAAGTTTAGGTAATTAGTGAGTGGTCAAGGCCTACTACTGTATTTGAAGTATGTAATTTTTTTAGAATGGTTGGATATTATGTAAAATTTTTGAGAGGTTTTTGTTAGATTTATGCACCTTTAACAAGAATAACTTGCATGTTAATGGCTTTTGTCAGGACTTCAAAATATGAGGAGAGTTTTAGAGATTGAATGTTTATTTTACTTTTGCTCTAATTTTGACTCTTCCATCTGGTACAATAGGATTTTAGATATTTAGTAATGCTTCACTAAATGGGCTGGGATGTGTTCAAATGCAGCATAAAAAGGTGATAGCCTATACTTATAGATAACTAAAATAACTCGAGAGGAATTATCCAACATATGATCTAGAACTTGCTATTGTGTTATTTTCCTGAAGATCTAAAGACTTTATATGTACGATGTTAGGTGTGAGATTTTTAGTGATCATCAGTTTGAAATACATATTTACTTAAAATGATTTGAATATGAAGTAAAATAGATGGCTTGAGTTCATTAACAATTATGATCTAACTATTAAATACTAATATGCCAAGGCTAATGTGGTAGCATATGCTATGAGTAGGAAGTCTTATAGCTTATCATATATTTAACTTACTTCTGATGAATCCCTAATGTCACATCCTCGAATTAAAATTTGGAAGAATTGTATCTTTGTACTTACTAGTTAATCATACTTAACTAAATCTTACAAATTCAAATAAATAGCAAAAGAAATGTATTTATATTCATCCATGTGTATAATTATTACAAGCCCAAAATATCATTTATACAATTATCGTGATTCAAAAAGACCAGTTGATCACGTTAAATACATTATGATTATAAAATGAATTAGAAGTGCTAAAATAAAAACTATGCATGCTGTCTAGTTCCTTCTCCATATGGTTCTTACTTTTTTCTAAAAATATGTGAAAACTATATAACGAGCATACAGCCTAGCAAGTAACTAAAATATAATAACTAAAATCAATGCAAAACAAAAGAAAATTATGTTGTAACTTGTATAAGAAAGTTATGCACTCATATATATTATTTATGCTAGTTAACCATATTAATTTATCAACTAGTCTATCATAATCATTCAATTAGTTGCAATTAATCTTATCATTCACTCATTCACATCCATATATTAGTAATAATATTAATATAATATAAATAACAATAACAATAATCAATAATGATATTAATATAATATTAGTACTAGTAATTAAAAATGGTATTAATATAGTATCAATAACAGTAATCAATAATGGAATTGATATAATATTCATAAAAGTAATCAGTAACAATATCAGTACAATATTAATAATGATATCATTATAGTATCACTAATAGTAATTAGCATCACTATCAGTATAGTATCAGTAATAGTAATCAATAATGGTATTAATACTTCATGTATCAGATATTCATATAAGGGCATCTTAATCTTGCTCCCATACTTATAACTGCAGTATAAGACTATCAATCACCCCTTATGAAAGCCAATCAATAAACTCCTCATGACTCCCATTAGTAAACATGAATTAGTCGCCTCGACACCTTATGACTCCCTTCAGTGAATAAATGGATCTTGAGGATATCATGTGGAGTTATCGCATCATATATCCAATATAAAATCAGTACATAATTTCTATCAAATTAGTCAATATCAGTTCAATACATCCTTAATACATTCTCGTAACATCAACCATTTCAAGAAAATCACATTTTAATCTTATCATATCAAATTAGTATACCTTACTTTTCGACCCATTTTCAACTTACTTTTTTTTACTCATTTTAAATAAAATTTCTTATGCATATATTTAATTAATGAAAATGCAATAAAATTATAGCAAATCATTTAGAATGATAAAATATATAACATATCAAAAGTTACACAGTAAAAGCTTAAAAAATCAAGAGAGAATATATTTTTTGCAGATTTAAGAGAGATAAGATCCATATAAATCAAAATCATCAATATAGAAATAAGAAAATAGTTATCTATAGAAAAATAGAATATTTTTTGTAATAGGGATAGCAGTTAAAAAAAGCATGAAGAGCTTCCTTTCATCACTTCTCACTCCTCTTCTCTTCCTCGCTTCCCCCTCCTTCCTAGTCAAGCTAAGAAGACTGAGTATATGGGAGAGGGAATGGTAAGGATATTTAGATTTTTAAAATATATAAATTGTAGTTAATGGACTAGCACCATAATGCTCCAACATAATGGCGCAACACAGCATGTTGAATCCAGAATTATAGTAGAACAGAGACTCAAATACCACGGTGGTTATTTATAGCACCATTATGCTCTCAATACTGGTGCCTCAACACTCTAAAGCATGATACTAAATTGCACTAAACAACAAACAACAACAACATTAAGCCTTTATCCCACTACGTGGGGTCGGCTACATGAATCCTTTTTCTCCATTGTGTCCTATTAAAAGCCAAATTCTCGTTTAAATCTAATAAAGAAAGGTCATTCCTAATATTTTCTAACCAAGTCTTTTTAGGTCTACCCCTACCTTTCTTAACACAAGTCAAATCTAATACCTCTACTCTCTTAACTGGGTCGTCGGAAGGCCGCCTTTTTATGTGACCAAACCATCTAAGGCGACTCTCTCTAATCTTATCTTCTACTGGAGCTACTCCAACCTTTTCACGTATATGCTCATTTCGTATCCTATCTCTAAGGGTAAAGCCACTCATCCATCTAAGCATCTTCTCTCTGCCACACTTAACTTAGTATTATGCTTCACTAGTTCAAAAAAAATTTAAATTTTATTTTAAAATTCTTTTCAAATTTTTGGGTTGTTACACCTAATATGGGATATAGAGAGAGATTATAGTCGGAGGTGATTTCTTTTGCTAATCAATATTCTAGTATATTGGCTCAGATGATCATACAAGGATGCTGTAGATTTTATTTCAAAATGTGAAGTGTATCACTTAGTAAAGGTAGAGCATCAAAGACTAGGAGATTTTTTTATAACCATTACCCATTCTAGAGTGAAAATGGAAAGAGGTGACCTTGAATTTTTCTATGGGTTTTCCCATGTTGAGACAATGACATGGTGTCAATTAAGTTATAGTTGATCGTTTGATGAAGTTTGCTAAATTCATTCCAATTGGAGAGTCTAATTCAATAGATAAATTGGCATAGGTATATATGTGTGAGATTATTAGTTACATGGGGTACTACAAGTTATAATTTTTGTCAGAGATGATAGGCTTACCTCTAGACTATGGAGGGGAATTCAATAAGTTTTGGGTGCTAAAATATATTTCAATATGACATTCATTCTCAAATTGATAGATAGTCTGAGAGAAATATATAGGTATTAAAAGATCTATTAAGATTATGTATTTTGAATTTTGTTGGAAATTAGCATGACCACATTCCTCTAATTGAGTTTGCTTACAATAATAATTTTTAGTTGTGTAGGTATGGCTCCGTATGAAGCTTGTATAGTATGAAGTGTCAGATACCATTGTCTTGGATGGAGGTGGGTAAAGGACCATTAATTGGGCTAGCCCTTATAGAAGATGCTATTGAAAAGATCTGCTAATCAAAAATAAATTAAAAGCTGTACAAGATAGGACAACATAGTAATTTGATGCTAAGAACCGAGCTGTAGAGTTTCAACTAGGAGATTTGAGTAGATGAAGTTCAAACCGATGTAAGGAAGGAAAGTTGAGTCTAAGGTATGTGGACCATTTGAAGTTATTAAAAGGATTGGATAATCAGCCTACAAGGTACATTTGTTAGATTATATGTCAGATATTCATAATGTGTCCAATATATCACTTCTGAGGAAATGGATATTTGATAAAGACATTGAGGTACATTCAAATATGAGCTATAGGGAAGAACCAGAGAGGGTTATGGTATATATTATTTACAACAATATAGTCATCAGTTTTTAGAGGTAGAATAACTCATGATCATAAAAAAGTAAAACTTTGCGCATTTAACAAAAACCTCGCTAAGAAGGTTTGAGTGTAGATAGCTTATAAATATAATCTATCGTTATAATGAAAATATTATGACCAAGTAAATGGAAAATTTTTGGCCTAGTTTTGTTCACAACCAATGGCCAATGACATGTAATTGGGAGTTTTTTGTTAGAATAAAATTTATATGCTTGAGTACGATCTCACAATTGTTAGTTATTTATATATATCCTTTAATGTAATAAAATGTAACTACGTTATTACTGGAGAAATCATCTACTTATACTTGCAAGAGGCTTAATTTTTCTTTCCTTTAGAAAATTCTTTCTTGTCCATTTTTTCTATAGAATTTGTTATTGTTTATTTAATTATTTTGATTTTGGTAAGAAAGTATAATTTTGTGAAAACTAATTTCTTTGCTCATTGATTTATTTTTTCAAAAGGTTTTTGCTTAAATTATAAATATTTGCAAGCATTTTAATTCTAATTATATTTAAACTCCTTTATTACTTATTTTCAAATAAATAAAATGAGTAGTTGATGTAACTGGTAACTTGTGATCGGTGAATTATCTATAAAACATCATAAGTATCATAATAGTTGCATTAAAAAACACAATCTTGGGTCATTAAACATTACTTAGGTTAAATTTAAGCATTTATCTTAGGTAAACCGCATAATATTCCTATGGTACAAGCTAATTATACCAAGAAATCTAATCATAGAAAGAACTTTACCTGTACCATTAGGATAGCATCGCACACATCTACTTTGATATTTTAAGGATGAATGTCTCTGTTGTTCAGGTTGAGGCATATTTCTTAAGTTATTGACGTTTACATGTCTCCCTGCAGTTGCTACTACAAGGCTATGGACAACTAAAGAAAGAGAATACACCCGTTCAAGCTACGGATATGTTCCAACAAGAGTGTGTTTTGGCCCATTTGCACCTATGGGATCCCAGCATTTCAATGTTTTGTCTCAACTGTCGGTAATAACTTCACCTAAAACATTAATGAATTTGTATAAAAAAATACAAGATGAAAATAAAACTTTGCATAACTGGGCATTAAAAAATTCAGGCAATACTTCAAAATGACATTAACAACATGCAAAGTAGCAAAAAAATAAAGCAGATGGAAATAATAAATATGTAACATAACATTCCGGAAAAGCCTTAGAAAAAGTGTATCGATGTTATTTCCTTGCATGTAACAGCATTGAATATCATTATTTATGTCAATGATATCAAGCATACATATGATCAACCTGATGCCAATTGTTAATTAAATTCTACTTTATTAAGGAAACAAAGGAACTTCTTAATAATGATCAGCATGAATAGATAACAAAGAATAAATGAAAAATAATAAGATCTTAAAAAAAGTATTAATGACATACTCCGAGAGAGAGTATAATGCTTACATTTTTGCAGTCATGAGCAACCATCTCTTCTAAGAGAGTTATTGTACCAATAAGATTGATGTTATAATAAAACAAAGGCTTATGGACACATTCAACCACAACCTTCAATCCAGTAAAATGAATAACAACATCGAACCTGAAGGTTAAAAAGAGATTAATACAGTAACTATAGGATCAAAACGATAAAATCCAAATTAGAGTATTGAGAAATATTAACATCTATACCAATATTGCTACACCGACATAAAATTTTAGCTTGATAAATGATACAAGTTTATATGGATTGTTAATCTAGAACCCCAACTGAAAGGCAAGATAAATGTGCTATTCATCAAGCATTTTAATGAAAACAAGCAATGCACCCACAAAAATAGCAAATAAACGTTTATGATAAAAGTAATTAAAAAGGCTTAGCTTCACAACAACGACATAAAAAAGTTGGCTGGAGTATTTCAAAACTTTTATATCAACCATTTTAAATAAACCATTTCAAAACATCTAAAAAGTACAGTATCAATTGTTTAAAATGCACGCACATAGAGAGATATCTGAGAAGATAGAAAATATAGAATAAGTGAATAAAATTTTTGTAGAAGCAAAAACAGTGTCCAATGCTTCTCTATCTCAAAGATCAAACTGCAAAAATAAAACAAAACTTACTGTGAAATTCATATTGAAGTATAAATGCAAGAAACAATCGTTCAAAGATGTATAAATTATGCCAAGATGACAGTGGAGGTTATTCACCAGCTCAAATGGCATGAAGCCCAGAACAATGCAATCAATCAAAGTAATCTAGCATACAACATTCCCTCAACAGTTTTAAATAGTAGAAGCACATGCAATATTAAATGAAAACAAGATCTACAAGTTCCCTACTTTTAACTAATGTGGAAGATGACAAACTATCTTAATCAGTCCCTGAAAATTCATATTATACTTCATCAGTGTCATTCTTTAAGGTTAAAAACAGTAGAAATAAAACAATTATTTAAGTTTTGTCAATGCACTGGATCACAGAGCTGAGGTCAATCAGTCAATTCAAACGTTAGTTGTAATGCTGGAACTGCCATTCAATATCACTCATTGAATGAGGTATACCCGAGAAAGGCTTTAATTGCGGTGTGCAATTTACTTGAGAAATTTATGTATGAACATTTTTTTCTCATAATTTCGGTGATGGAAGAGAAAATTGCATAAAATACTTGTTGGAGGTTCCAGTTCACTTAGAATAGAAGATGCGTTTACTTAGTTTTTTTTTTAGTTTCACAGGAATCACCATTAATATAGCAGTAAGCAAATCAGATTTCAGAAAATTGTATTTGATTTCTAGTTAGCTAAGAATCGAGATGAAAATTAATTACATGATAGTGGCTGATCAGAAAGTACCAAATACATGCTGTCAACTTCAATCATTTGGCAACTGCAAGTTCAAAACATTCATCATAGCTTCAAAATTTACATTTCAGTCATCTGAGTTCATAAATTTCACAGTCCATCTCTTATGATTGTAATTTAACTCTAAATTCGTGTTAACCACCACTTGTAAGTGCAGAGCAATTTAACTCAAAATTCAGGTTCACCACCACTTGCAAGTGCAGAGCAATTCGAATTCTTCTCAGCATCAGGTATCACTGTACATGCTTGATTGAGAGGATTCTTGTCTAGTCATGTGCCACAATCTGCTACTACATTATCTAGTTTTAATATCAACTTCATGTCTTTCATCGCAATCCCTTATCCTCAATCTTTCATTGTTCCAAAACCATCAAATTTAAAAGTTATGAAAAGCCACTGGTTCATATCCATAATGCTCAAGTCAAAACTAATAAGCCTGCACTTGAAAACTAATACAAACTATAATCTGAATCCAATTTGCTATAAACTAGACTATATTCATAAATCCTACATATCTTAAAAATGTAGTAAGTGATATATGAGCATTTATAAGCAAAAAGCAGGAACAGAAAATATATATTTATATAATTTAAGGGTTTAGGAACATTAAATTTAATTTTCATGATTAATATATTTATATCAAAGAGATACATAACAAAGCAGAAAGACCACATGAATTTCATCGGGAAAACTCATGACAAATGGATAACAGACAGTTCATCAGAAAATCTAAAGATGAAATTAAAACCATATTGAATGGAAAAAATTACTATGTAGCAGATGTTATGTAATTCAGCATCATTATGATGAATAAATTCACCAAATATTCACAATATTATATAGAATGTTTAACGTGATATCGACAATTTGCTTTCTCATCATTTAGGAAAAGGATGAGGCGGTCTTTGAAGAACTAGTAGAAGGCAGATGCGAGTAAAAGAGCGATAAGGGAGAGCAGGTAGGAAATCCAGGAATCGGTGCGCCACAAATCTACGAGGATCGTGACGGTTTTGACCCAATAGAAGGTAATGTGCATCTTTTTTGCCGGCAATGGACGATATAGAGCGTAAGAGAGGAAGTGCGGAGTGGGAATTTTGGGGTAGAGGAGAGATATGAAGCTTTTCAACTAGATTGAAGCTGTTCTCATCTTTGCATAGGCGTCCGGAAGGTTTTTTGTCATCGACTTGGCACAATGTCGAATCCGATCGAAGTATTGGTGGTGTCGGCGACGAAGTAATTTACTCCAACGACAAAACGACAATCACGAAGAAAAAACATGGGTATGTAAGAGAAGAGAATGCGGCGGGATAAAGGAGATAAAGAGATCACCGCCGAATTGTGAACCCTAGAAAACGAGGTGCAGTAGAAATTAAGTGCTTAAAAGGGGAAAACATTAAAGTATGTGATGGGGAAGCGCGGGAGACACGTGGCCTGGGCGAGTGGCTTCGACGAGGTGAAGAAGCCAAATGCGAGGGACGAGCAGAGCAGATGTCCATAAAAATTTAGTTCACCTTTTAAAACGGGATGTTTTTCAGAATTCGGCGAGCAGAGAGTCGCAATGACGGACGATAGGAATGACAGAACAGGCGGACATGTGTTCGTAAGTATATGAAAGAAGGTGTAAGGATGCGTTGATACGACCAAAGGAAGAACAATGAGATATTGGTTTGGCAGTAGATGTATAGATAACGCGGTGCTCAATTTCAATTTGAAGATGAAAGAAGGTACATGAATATAGTTAAAGAATTTAACGATGGATATTTAGTCAAGTTTTTTAAACCAACGATTCACATGCGACATTTTAATTGTGTGTATACACACACACACACATACACACACACACACGTGATAAGATATTATATTTGAATTTCAAAGTAATTAAATTTGCCACTTTAAAATGTCATGTAATCACAAAATTGAGCATAAATTCAACTACTTTAAAATAAAGGACTTAAAGATAATTAGAGGTTTATCATTGTGAGAGGGAGAGAGAAGAAACCTATGTAAGGCTCTCCAAACGAAAATAGAAATAGAAGTGGGGATATTTTTATTCCAAATCTTAGTGTATAAAGAATCACATTCACCTTTAATTCTAAAAGCGTGCCAAGCATTTTTAAGAGAGAATTTACCATCCTTAGCAGCATTAAACATAATAACGTCCTTAGACTTAATATTAATAGGCACCTTAAGAATCTTATCTTTAATACAATCCGGGACCTCATTAGAAATCTTATTGATATCCCAACAGTTGTTATTAAAAAACGCATTCACTTTAAGCGTGGACATCGAAGAAGTATTCAAAATATTATCAATAGAATCATTTCCGAGCCATTTATCTTGCCAAAAGAATAAATTGCCAACCCCCAGACCCCAAGAAAAAAGGGGGATCACCTCCCACTTAAGCTTACACATCCTTCTCAAGACTCTAGAAATACCATTCTTGGAGCAAATGTTTGAAGAGTGATTACCATTACCATACTTAGCATGCATGAAAAGAGCCCAAAGGTTATCTTTAGACAGAAATTTAAACCAAAGCTTAAAAGAAAAGGCTTTAGCAAGATCCTAAAGGTTCTTACAACCAAGGCCACCCTCCTCCTTAACACCACAACAAGAAACCCATTTGGCCCAATTGATCTTAGAGGTAGAAGAAGTGCCACGCCAGAAAAACTTATTCAACAAATTATGAATTCTATTGCAAACAGTTTTAGTAGGGGCAATAGTTTGAAAACTATAAACAGGAAGAGCACAAAGAACACTTTTAATAAGAGTAAGTCTACCATCAAAACTAAGGAAATTAGATTCCCAAGATTGCAACTTATACTGAACATTGGCAATAAGATCATTAAATAAAAAAGAAGTCTTCCTCCCTTTAAAAAGAGGAACACCAAGATACTTAATCGGTAAATTAGAATGCACAAAGCCAGTAGCATTATGGATGGCTAAGATACAATCATTAGAAATCCTATTAGAAGTAATAAAACAGCTTTTGTTCTTACTAAAAGAAAGACCACTCATGTTCTCAAACTTGTTTAAAAAATCATTAATTCTATGAATACGATTGATGGTAGCATTAGTAAAAATGATAAAATCATCCGCAAAACATAAATGAGAAATGGCGAAACCACCTAACGTTTTGAAATAAAGATTAGGGTGTCTTTGAAACAAATTAGAGATGCCCCTAGACAAAATATCAGCGGCAATAATAAAAAGGACAGGCGAAATAGGATCACTTTGTCTCAAACCATTAGAGGACTTAAAGAAACCATGATTAGAACCATTAATAATAAGGGGAAAATAGATGTTGTTAATACAGATTTTAATGATGGAAATAAAAGCAGAATTAAAACCAAACAACTCAAGGGCTAAATAAATAAAATTCCAATCAATGTTATCATATGCTTTAGTAATATCTAACTTGATAATAACATTACCCCCCTAGCTTTAACATCCAAATCATGCACAAGTTCTTGAGCCAACAAAATTATATCAGTGATAGCTCTCCCTTTCACAAAACCCATCTGATAAGGAGAGATAATGTTAGGTAAAACCATAGAAAGACGGTTAGCAATAAGTTTAGAA